CCTAAAGTAATTGATTTTACCCGGCAGAACGAAAGAAGGTAACTCCGCTTTTCAGTTGTCTCAGGCGATTGATTTTTGACAAACAATGACCTTTCAGAGGTCAAATTGCTGTCAAGAATATGAATTGGCTGCTTCGCAGCAATTATATTTAATTAAGACTGAATATCAAAAACATTGGTTAAAGTCATCAAATGAGCTATTTTAAAATTTTGCTACAAAACAATTATTGTAAATAAGTAAACCACAAAGTGATCTGAAATATGTTGTATCACCTAGTTGTCATATCAAGAAAATGTGAAAACAATACAATGTTCTTGCATCCTGTGAAATGTTATTAAAGTTTAAAAAAAAGTTGATATAGCTGAATACCTTGTCCCACAGAGCCTGCAGTTCCTCTTGCCCTCCAAGATCCCAGAAATTCAATCGTACATGACCTCTATCAATTTTACCAACTGAAATAGAACAGTGAGAATTCTGTACAGAAATTGTACTATCTTGTTAATTGATAGACTGCCGGGTATCCCAAGTCTCTTGCAATAATCTCTCGGAAAATAACCCATCTTCCACAAATTCATAACATTTTCAATGGCGGATCCAGAAATTGAAAGTAGAGGGGACCCAGAGAGGGGCTTTCAGCGATAGAGGGTCTACAGTATACTATCTCAGCCCCACCGTAGCTGAGGCTGAGGTAAGACAAATTATGATTATCGCACTTCTAGGTGGCTGGAAATGAAACTCTTAGACTCAAAATTTGAGTAGAATTTTCTTTTTCTCTTTTTTAAAAATATTTTTGGGGGGTGGGGAAGGGATGGACCGGCTGGGCCCCCTCTTGAATCCGCCACTGATATGCATGAGAGTCTAAGTTCAAATACATACTGTTTAATCCAACTGTAGTTGTGATTTTTTCCAGTGATCCACCTTTGTAATTTTTGTCAAACTGCATTTGAGATTGTTCCAGGAAAGTCTGTAATTCAGTAACAAAACATGATTTAAAAGATTATGAATCAATTTTAATAGTAATGTAATACACAGTATAATCATAGTAGAGCCTCCTTATTTAGGACACCCCTATTAAGGATACAATAATTTTGATCCCAAATGCATTTCCATGATACTTAATAATAGGGGTTCTTCTGTACTCAAAATTCATAATAAATGAACATATATAAATACAAAAAAACAAAAAACAAAATATTTTAAAACAATAATTTATGAATATCTGTGACATACTTTCTTAACATTTGAAAGGGAGTTATGGTTTTAGTTATTCCTCTCCAATCCTAGTATTTTGAAATTACTGTATAGTTACAGGATGTGGCTCTACAGTATATAAACATTAAAGGACAAGCAACAATAATAATACGCAACAAAAACACCAGTTAGAAAGTTTATATCAGCCATCATCCAAAAACTAAAATGAAAATCTCTCTCCAGGCACAAATCATGATCACGAATCAAGAACGTGATGTATACGATTTTCTCAGACTTTTATATAGCCATCAATGGTGGTGGCAAAGACAACAAAGATAATTAAAATAATAAAAATATTACTAACTGTTTTGCCTGCATTGTCCAGACCAAGGATCAGAATATAGTATTCATCTTTTCTGAACATGAACTTCCAAAGACCAGAAAGAAGGGCAAACATCTTGAGACTTTGAGGCACTGTTATTTCGTCACTTTGAAAAACAAGACACTAAAAATCACCTTAAAATATATTTACGTCTATTGTAAAAGCATTTATTTTTCACGAAATACGGTGGCATGTACAGTGACCAACCGAATATAATACACTACTACGTCCTACTACCAGGCCTAGGCCTAAGGAGGCAAAGGCCCTTGTTTCATTGTAGGCCTACTTCCTAATAATAAAAATAAATTTAAAGCCAATCAAAATAGGACAGGCTAATGAAATAACGATAAACCATCCCCAACGCACTTGGCCTCTCAGAGGCCTAGGTCTACCCTACCTGGTTATCTACCAGGTAGGCTATGAGAGGCAAGGTATCTCCGCCTACTAAGACCTAGGCCTAGGCTAGGCCTATGCCTACTGTATATGGATGGGCCACCCAGTGGCATAGCTAACTAAGCCTAGGCCTAGCCTAAAATGTTAAATTGGCTTCAAGTTCGTTGATCCATTAGCATGATTAAACTCACAACTAACCGAACAATAACTATTTTAACTGATATCTGAAATTTGTTCATACAGATAAATTAACCATGTCGCGTAACACAAATGAATGACCACATCATCTCCTCCTGCCAACCAGGCTCCTCCAACTCAACAACCCTTAAAATTAAAAACAATAAGTTCTGCGTTCTAAGGCAGACGAGTTGGCGAAAGTAATCAGGCGTCAATGCAGCACCCCAACGCGTCATTAAGTGTGTTGGTTGACGTTTTCGTCGTCAGGTTTTAGAGTTGAAATATCGACGTCTTTTCGATCATCGTATCCATTTGTACAACAAATTTTAGCATTTTTAACTTGATTGATCAGTTACTTCTCGATATCCTTAGGAGAATATTATTGAATTAAATAAATCAAAACATTTCATACTTGTTAATAATGTTTTTAATTAAATAAACAAAATCGCATAAAAATGAATCTAGATCTACAGTATTATTAGTTTTTATCTTTTATCCATTTCAACAATTTCAATTTTTTTTTATACTGTAAACGAGCAATGTAATTTCCATTTTCTTTGGATGAATACATTTTTAATTGACTGTCACCTTGATAATTTTACTGCACTGTCACTGTTTGCTGCCCTCTATCTGAATATCGGACATTTTAGACTCACGATCAGAATTCTTCGACTCAAAATGGTGCTTGACTAAAGCTCTGTCTACACTATCAAATTTATATATATAAATATATATATATATATAATATATTATAT